GGCATTGATTAAAGATATTTAATACCGAGCCTGATTTACAGCTGTATTTTCATATCTTGTAAGACAAGGTTTAAGAAGCAAAGATTTGTTAACCAAGCACTTTGTCCTGTACAACTTTGTAATGCTTTTGGTGCCTTGCACTGCAGTTCTGTATCTTTTTGGTCAATTTGACTTTTCTTTTTTGGTCATCGAGGTTTCTCCCAGCAAGTTCCCCCACAGGCTGTTGGAGCATGGAGAGAGTTTGTGCTCAGTGTAGAGCAGGAACTCCTCTGCCCTGGTGTGACTTTACAGTGGCACTGCTTCTTCAGGGCAAAGTAACCTCAGACATTTCTGGCTGCATGTGGCCAGGAATGAGCTGCATAAATTGCCATTTCCCAACTCCAACATTAGAATTCCCCAGCACTCATTTATCTGTTACACATGACATGTGGGATGCCAAGCTTTCCTTTTAAACACATAAAGGTTGTTTGGCTGAGAAAATGGATTGAATTTAAAATAACAGACACAATAAGGCACAGGCCTTAATAGTGGCTACTTACATTAATGTTTCCCATTTGGAAGTGTTTGTGGTTAGGGCTTGCTCTGGTAGTTATTACTGCCTCTCCTGCAATATGTAATTGTGGATTAAATTTACTTTTATTGAACCCTTACTTATCCTGTAAACATGGAATATTAAGCTAAAAGGCAGCTGCTGTAAAAATGTAAGCTGCTGTATATCTTAACTTCTTCCACTTGTGTTTTTTAAGGTAAAAGCAAATACTTGCTCACACAAAACTCTCAATTTTGCATTGTTTTTTTCCCCCAAGTAGTTGAAACAGGTATTTATTTAAACAAGTGTTTATCCCTGCTGATGTTTTTCACTCAGTCATCAGCATTCCAGCTTCAACTGAAAGCTGTTTTCTATCTGTCCATCAGTGAAAGAAAATTTCCTGCATTCCCATCTTTTGCACCAGTGGCAGGTTTTAACTGAACCTGCTGTTTACTTGTTCTTGGACATGCAGAGGAGATGAATGGTCTCACACAGGTTTTTATGAGAAACCAGTTTTGATTTAAATTAGTGGTAATTGGAGAAGAGTGTTTGCATCTCCTAAAATATGCAGCGCCCCTGTACTGTGATAGCGGAGAAGAGAAATGGCACCAGATGTTATGGGTCTGGTATGCCTCGAGTCTTCCCTTTTCATATTCCAGGCTTTCGCTGGTCGAAGCACAGAGCAGAGGAATAACTGTTCCTGCCTCTGGGGAATGAAAAGTGATCAGACTGTTGGTACCTTTGGTTGTTTTCCAGGATCCACCTTCGGAGCAGGGAGAGATCAGGTCTCAGCCTAGATGTGGTTTCCCTCAGCTCATCTCTTGGGTGCTGCAGAGTGTTCCCAGCTTTCCGGGATGTTGAGCTGGATGAGACTCTCACCTTGTGCCCTGAACTTCTCCTCGGGAGTGTTTTCCCCTCGGCTTTCTGTCTTTCCTGTCCTTGTGCTTGGCTGGAGCTGCGCTAGTGAGGTCGAGGAGGAGCTGATGTGTGAACAGCCCTGTGAGCCAGGGCACGGCTCTGTCGGTGCAGCTCCTGTGGCACCAGCGTTCCTAAGGGGGATGAGCTCCCAAACGGAGCACCAAGAGGAGTCGGCTCGTCCCACCAGGGAATTTAGCCCCGAGAGCAGAGAGGGAGGGCTTTGCTTGGGGAAATGAGCGTGTGCTCCCTTCTTCTCCATCAGAAAACGTGGTGGCTTGCACGGAGATCCGCAGAGCTGCAGCGTGGAAACATAAACATCCATGTGCAGCTTCAGGCTTCCCTGCTTAGGGCTCCCTGCAAGCCCTGCGGGCAGGGAGGGAGCGGGAGGTGCTGAGGAATTGAGTGGGTTTTGACTAACAAAAAGTCGCGTTTCAGATGAAAGTGGCAGGGGGTGGGAAGGTTAATTTTGTTGTGGTGCGCTAGGTCAGGCATGGAAGAAGAGCTTGCATTCAAGCCAAGAGCTTTCCCTCCCAACTCGGAGCGGGAATTTCACATGCTTTTAATTATCAATGCCTTCAAGCAGAATACAACTCCCAGTCATTCTGGCTCGTGGAATTAAATTTAAATGTATAAAAAATAAGCATCACTGTCCCCTCCTAGACCAAATATTTGGTAAATATCAGTTCTCCTTGTTTACAATGGCATATCCCTGTTTATTTGCAGAGGAGTTCTTGACTTCTCACATAAATTTTGTTTAGCTTTTCATACTACTGATATATTACAATAAAATCTGTCCCAAATTGATAGCTTGAGTGTATAAAAGTACAGACAATTAAATTGATTTTTAAAAATGGTTGAAATGCTTCTCACTCTATGGATTATTTTTGATATCTGCCATAGATTAAGTTGGTATGCATCTGTTTTAGAAATATTTTCTAGAGAGTATTAATTTAAAATATTGTATTTAGCAGCAGTCTCATTGGTTATGAGACAGAACGTGAAGGCTTGGGACAAAAATGTTTCTGCTCTCTTGAATTTTTTATTCACAGAACATCATTGTCCTGATGGAGCGAGTAGCTAAGAAATTTGAGGGGAGGAACGGTCTGTTTTGACCCCACCTCTGTCCAGTTTGGGGCCCCCAGAATAACAATGTGGAGTTGCTGGAGTGAGTCCAGAGGAGGCCTTGGAGATGCTCCAAGGGCTGGAGCCTCTCTGCTCTGGAGCCAGGCTGGGACAGCTGGGGGTGCTCATGTGGAGAAGGGAAGGCTCCAGGGAGAGCTGAGTCCCTTCCAGGGCCTGAAGGGGCTCCAGGAGAGCTGGAGAGGGACTGGGGACAAGGCATGGAGGGACAGCACACAGGGAATGGCTTCTACTGCCAGAGGGCAGGGATGGATGGGATATTGGGAAGGAGTTGTTCTCTGTGAGGGTGAGCAGGCCCTGGCACAGGGTGCCCAGAGCAGCTGTGGCTGCCCCTGGATTGGATCCCTGGCAGTGTCCCAGGCCAGCTTGGACACTGGGGCTTTGCTCGTGTGTTCAGGTCCTGTGTCTGAGTCACTGAGTTCAGACTGTCTTGGGTTTCCCTCCCTGTCCCTTCCCCTTCCTTGCCCGGACCGTGCTGTGTGTGTCAGTGTGATGCTGCCAACACCCCTGTGCTGAAGGGAACAGGTAAATGTTTTCCTTGGCTAATTATCTCTCCTATGTGAGAGCAGGAGCTTTTGCCGACAAGGTAGTTTTCATTCATGTGTGGTTTTTGTTCCGTTTTGGTCTTAATTTAGGTCTTTACCACATACGATGACGACAAATCCATGTGCATATGTTAAAATCTGACCTTTGGTTTGCTCTCTTCACTCACTAATGTGTTTTAAAATACTTTAATATATAGCTTCCCAGGCACCAGATCAATAACCCAATGGGTCTGAAATGACAGAGTGCTGCGATATTCCCCTTTAATTTAAACATGATTAGCTGATGAAGGTTATGATCAATATGCTAGGGGAAGATAAATTAATTGATATCATCCTTTCAGGATGATAAGAGGCCTGTTGGAGGTGGGATGTAACTAATGAAGCTGCTTCTTCATATATATGAGCCATTCTTTATACAATGTATTCTCACTAAATCATGGTTATGTCATCATTCATTTACATGAAAAACATAAGCCACAGACCACTTTGTTATTAAAATTGCATTCATTTGAGAAGAAACTATGCTTACACTGTCCCTGTGCTGTAATGTAGTAAGGGAAAATAATGTTGGAATTTACATAATTATCCTTTTGTGTTTTCTGGATGAGACAGACTGGGTTCTATTGGCTTAAATCCTTTGAGTTTCTGAGGGACTTTTTAAGGAGATGCCAATAAATGTCGCTGGTTTTGGTGGAGGTGTTGCCAGTGACTGCAGACTCCTTGGCACAATTTCCATGAAGTGCTTACCTTCATGAAGAAAACTGCATGCAAGGAAGTTAGATTTAGTTAGGGACATTTTTGATTAATAGGTACTACACAAGTACCTGCTTCCAAAGACTGAAATTTTGATTAGTTTTTAATTTGTGACTAAAAAGGTAGCGAGAAATTTTATTTTTATATATTTATGACATAAAAAGAGCTCTTTCCAAAGGCTTTAGCTGAATTAGCAGCATGAATTCAAGTTCCAGTGTGTGATGAGATGAATTTCTGAAATAGTTTGACTTGTTTAAATGGAAAATTTGTAGGGGAGGTTTGGAAGTTGCTGCATTTCACATCAGTTCTGTTTGATCTTTTTTATTATGGGTCTGCTAAGTCGTGTATAGAGATGTTAATGGTTCTGATCCCTGTATCCATTTGTTAAATGCTGCTTTTCTTTCCGTGCTGAAGAAAATGTCTAAATAAATTGCAAAACAAATTAGGCATTTTCCCAGCTGTGCTAGTGCTGCTAAGGAATAAAAGCTGAAATTAGAAATCACGATACATCTTCTTTCCATGAAGAATTTCACTGGGATTTGTGGTACCTCTAATCCTGGTATTTATTCCATGTCAGGGACCCTTTATCAGTTCTAATATTCCAGTTACGTTTGGTTTGAACTCCAAAGTGGATTGCCCTGGTGCAACGGTTGGTAAAAAAGGGAAATCCATCTTATTCCTTGGCAGCAGAGACCTGGTATCTTCTGTCTGCCAAGAGAATATCCCAAAGAAGAAAGGAAAAAGTTTGCTATCATGAGCTTTGTTAGTGTGTTTTTATAAACGTAGAAGAGACCTGGTACAGAATTCCTGGTATTGCTGCTTGTAATTTTCTCTTGGAGTCCTCTGGTGCTCACCTGGTGGAATGAGACTGATGGAGATGGACTTCTGGGTGGAGACTTCTCCATCCTCCATGTGGAGAGCCAAGCTGGAGTGTCCCATGGAGCATCATGGAAAGCCAGCACCCTCCCTCTTCCCTGTCATACACCCCATTTTTGGAGCAGGCTTTGGTGGTGGAGCCCCCCTGTTTGTGTCCTGTTCACTGTGTGTTTTCCCACCGTGCTTTGCTTTCCAGCTGTGATCTGCCTCACCTGCCTGGATGTTTTGTTTCCCTTCAGTTGCTCAGAAGATTGTTTCCACCAAGAAGAAGCAGCAGCTCTCAATCGGACCCTGCAAATCTCTTCCCAACTCTCCGAGCCACTCCTCCGTGTGTTCTGCCCAGGTTTCTGCCGTACATATCAGCCAGGTACACATAAAACAAATGCTTGGAAAAGGAACTGATAAGCTGCTTTTCATCTCTGATGTATTTTGTGCCATTTCAAATGCTCTTTCTGCTGCTCAAGAGATAGTTGCTATTTTTTTAATGCTCTCAGTGATCTGTAGTTTGAAGTGATACTTGAATTTTTTTTTAGATTGGCTTGAGTTCAAGAAACAAAGTAGCAATGCAGAATAATTTGGCTTTAAAGCCTGCTTGGATTGATAAGCCTGCTTTGATCGTTCTCATTGATACCCAGCAGCCTGCAGGTCTGAGTAGGCCAATCACTACAGTTGCAGGATTTGCTGTGCTGTGGTTTATCATCCCCTTGCTGTGTTTTTGGTGGTTACTGTCACTCAGCTGTGCTGAGCTGGTGTGTCCCAGTGGTGAGAGTGCTGGAATTTTACACTTGATGGTATTTTGAGAAGCATATGGTTAATACCAAATTCTTCTGACGTGCACAAGTTTTACCCACATGTTGCATGCTCCCCTATGTTTCCCTGGCAGTGCCCTTCCTCAGTGTCTTTGTTTTCTCGTGTCACCTGATAATCTCTGGGCATGTCCCCAGTTGGGATGGATATAAACTGAAGGATGTCAGATACCCACAGCCATTCTGGTGTGGTTTTCAGTCTAAACTCAGTAATATGTGGGTTATTTTGCAGTCTTGAGCCCCCGTTGTGAGGATTTGTTTTGATTATGGACCTTTATCCCACACAGTGCTTGCTTTTGGGCAGAAAGGAGTAACTTCTCCCACTGGGTTACAGCCCTAAAGATACAGGTGCCAGTTTGGTCCTAAAAGTTCTCTGCTGTGAGTTACTCTGCTTCAGGCTGATACCACCTGATACCACCTCAGACTGTGGCTGTGGTTTTTGCTGATGAGCCCAAAGAGGATGCTGGAGTTCAGACTCCCCTTTCTAAAGCAGGTGCTGAATGAGGTGTGTTGCTCTTCAGAAGAACCCTGGCACTTCCTGGTGAAGTACAAGTATTCACATGGGAGAGGTTCTCTCCTTTCCAGGTGTCCTCAATCGCTCAGTTGATGGCCACAGGGCCTTAGAAGTCACCCTCTCTGAGGGCATTTCTTGTTAATGAAGCTTTTGGTGATGAAGGACATCAAATATCTGGGGGTTCACCTGTTTTCTACCCAAGTCTAGTTTGAAGGTCAACAGCAGCCACCAAATTCTAGACCAGTACCATTGCCTGTGCAGCAAACTTCTTGCAAGTGATAAGAACTGTTTGGGAAAATCGAGGCAAAGTAGCTTTTGCGATAAAGCTCCCTAGATTCTGTTTCAATAACAGTGAAATAATGTTCTTTACTGCCTTTGCCAGGTGTCATAATTACCTAAAGGGGCAATTGCATCACCGGTTAAAGATGTCTCTCTTCTGAGACTGATGTCACACCTAAAAGTAGAGGCCAGAAATCTGTTTCATGTCGTATCTTCTTTGTGCTACACTTAAAGGCGGTATGACCTTGTTTAAGGGAAGGAAGCTGAATCCTTATCCCAGACTTAAAAGAACTTTGCAACTGCAATTCCAAGTTCAAGATGATCTGGGGCAAGATTTGCCATCTCTGATCTTGGCTGGAAGACTGGCTGGTGTCTTGCCCTTTGGACCATCTCTCTTGGCGTAATGATGTTCCTCTGAAGATTTCCTCCATGAATCAAACCCGTTATCGGTGCAGTGCCCTGCCACTTGCATTCTCCACAGGAGCAAAGGCCTTCAGAGGCAGTGGTTACACACAGCACTTCACATAAAGTCAGATATTGTTCCATCTCTGGTTGGATCATCCTGGGGATTGAACTCCTGCAAACTCTCCAGATGACTCTGCAGTCAAAAGCTTAGGCTTTAGAGGAAAGAAAAAAAAGAGTGTCACCTTAACCAGGCTAGTCCTTAGCATACCTTGGAAGGAATTCTAAGGCTCAGCACCATCCAGGGCTTCTGTGGTTTTAGTCTGCCAGGTTGGACAGGGCTTGGAGCAGTCTGGTCTGGTGGAAGGTGTCCCTGCCCATGGCAGGGTGCTGGAATGAGATCAGCCTTAAGGTCCCTTCCAATCCAAACCATTCTGGGATTCTGTGAAAGACTTGTCTGTCTGTTTGGGTGCTTCTCTATCTGCATGTCCAGGAGTCTGAGGCAGTGAATACCTCAGTAAGATCCCCTTCCAGAAAATGCTATCATAGTTACGTATATCCAGAGGCCTGTTTCACACAGTAAGATACTTCCTATTTCAAAGGCAAAATCCACTTGTCTTCTTAGTAGATGCTGCTCAGTTTTCCTTCTTAGTTTTTAACGTGTATGCCAGTCAAGGGGAAAGTTTTCCTGGAAAACCTGTGATACCCAGAGCCAACAACTCTTGCAAGTACTTCAGGTACCTCTGTTGGCTTTCAGGGCAGCACAGAATACATGGAAAGAATTTTATTCTCAAATCCAAGGATTAGCATTCATGACTATGATGGACAGAACTGTTATATACTTTGTCAACAAGAGGGATGGTGCAACATGGCTTACATTCTGTCTGATGCATCCAGGTATTCCTGTCAACAGCTCACTGTCTGGCTTTTTGGAACACTTCAAGAGATAGACTGAGTTGTTTAGAGGGAAAGAAGTGTTGTGCAGTGGATTGGAGGCCTCTTATTAGCCACGGGGCATCTTGGAATAGGTCTTTAATTTACTTTTTACAAGTATAGACCAGTCACCTCTGTATGTCTCTGCTCTGCATGTCTATTCCACATTCCCCTATCCCTTGACAATCTTCCTAAGCATGATATGCCTGTATATCATGCTAAGTCTAATTTCAAAGAAGAATGAGTTCCCTTTTCCTTCACAAAACCTCACAGAGGCATTTTTCCCTAAATTCATTCATTCATTCCTTCCGTAAATTGATTCCCTAAATTCCTCTGGTGCTAGAGGAGTTGCTTGTCCTTTACAACTGACGTATCAGGAAGGCAATTTTAAGATACTAGCTTAGAGGAATAGTGCCAGTACAAACAGTTCCAAAGGGCTGTTTCCTGCGCCCAGCCCCTGGAAGTGGAGATCATCTGGTTCTCAAACCCATGGGGCTGCTCAGCCTGCTCCCACCTTTGGTCCTCAGTGCCTCTCTGGGGGGGCTGGATAAGCTACTGAGGAGTTTCCTGAGCTGGGCCTGGGTTTGAGTTTGCACTGGTGTAAAAACAGCTGGAAAATCCTTTGGCACAACAGCTGTTGTTGCTGTTTGTGTGAAAGACTCCAGGCCCCTCTCCAGACAGACTGATGTGCAGATTCCAGGAATCCCTAGTAGTGTGAGCTTGTGAACTGCAGTTTTGAAGGCAAAGATGGAAAGATCTGTTTTACTAGTGGCTACAATTCCTTGAAATTTGCAGTCTACATATGTTTTCACAGTGGCTGGCTTTCCTGGAATTCAGCTGTTACTTTCTGCTGTGAGAGGAGATGGAAAATGGCACCATGTTTCCATGTCTGCATGGTCTCCATGCATTCCTCTATGGCAGAGGGGCCTTACACACCCTTTGGTGAAGAAATTTTCCTTGATATCCTGTCTAAATCTCCTCTGGTGCAACTAGAGCCCGTTCCCTCTCCTCCTGTCCCTGTTCCCTGGAGCAGATCCCAAATCCCCCCTCGCTGTCCCCTCCTGTCAGGGAGTTGTGCAGAGCCACAAGGGCCCCCCTGAGCCTTATTTTCTCCAGGCTGAGCCCCTTTCCCAGCTCCCTCACCCCCTCCTGGGGCTCCAGCCCCTCAGTGTCCATCCACATGGACTGCAGTGCCAAGAGTTGTGTTTCCTGGTCAGCACTATCATTCTCCAAGCAGATTTGCATTGTTCCTGAGGAGGGTGTGGAACTTAACATCCACTACAAAGCTGCAGCTCAGGTGTGGCTGCCACACAAACTCGGTCCTTTCTACCTGTTGCAAATCTGTAGTGATGAATTATTTATGTTTGCACAATGCCTCCAGATAGTTTTTAATACAACATAATTGTCCAGAAATGTAAATTAAACTACTAAAAGCAAAGTGCAGCCAGCTTGGTCATCCATTATTTCTCACGTTGTATCTGAGAGGAATGATAATGTATTTAATGTCACATATATCACAGTCCTTTTGTATTCACAGAGTTGTTTCTAAGTAACCTAATTTTTATCTAAAACAAGCATTTTAGATACCTCCCTGTGAGGGTAGGCAAGCCCTGGCACAGGCTGCCCAGAGAAGCTGTGGCTGTCCCTGGATTCCTGGCAGTGTCCCAGGCCAGGCTGGATGGGGCTTGGAGCACCCTGGGATAGGGAAGGTGTCCCTGCCCATGGCAAGGAGTTGGAATTTGATGATCCTTGGGATCCCTTCCAACCCAAACCATTCTGTGGTTTCCAAGTGTTTCTCTGGTTGTGTTTTTCATTATTCCAGCCAGTGGCTTACTTTGAAATCACCTCAGAGTTTTAGTTACAAAGTTGGAAATCTGCTGGGTTTGGTGTGTGAGAAGAGAAGCATTGCCTGCAGGACTTCTCTTATAGAAACTCTGTGTGTCTTTGGGGAATAGAATATCCAACAGGTTTGTGTTTTCCTTTAGGAGTTACTCACTCCCAGAAAATAAATCACATAGAAATCCAGGAGACAGCTGCAAAAAGTGTAAAATGATGCTATAAAATTATGAAGGATTTAAAAGGTAAAATTTTAGGGAATCCTTCATGTTCTCCATCGGGGAAAGTAGGCTCTTATGGTATAAATCTGTTAATTTCAGTTAAAAAAAAAAAAGTAAGATTTCCTTGTCACCCTTCTCGTCTCCAACACATCCAGTGGTTTGGGAACAAGCTGCCACAGAGACGGGAAAAGCAAATATGGGGTAATTGAGGCCACTTCTTCCCGGCTTGTCCTGCTCATCTCATTCTCCATTAGGACACTAAAAATTATAATTTCAATTATGTTATTTCATCTCCTTTGTTGTATACACGTCTTCCAACTCTGCTGCTACTTCCTCTGGCATTTGAGAATGTTGTAGGAAATCTCTCTCCAGCCCCACTGTTGCTTTCAGTGCCTTCACCTCTGCTCCCTGCTTTGGAAAAGCTGCAAGAATCAGAAGAGAACTTGGAACATGGAGAGGCTTCAGCTGGGGGTTGTAAGGGATTGTCTCCTACTTTTTCATTCGGACTGGTTGCAGCTTGAGATCCCGATCCCCAAGGAGCATGGCAGAAGTCCCATCAGGCATCTTTCTCCTCAGGAATTCTGGAAATCACCTCTTACCACCTTTTCTCACTTCCTCTGGGAAACTTGACTGCTTTAAAGATGGCCTTTCCCCCTTCTCTATGCATCCCAGACCTTTCTTTCCTCCCCAAAAGCTCCGTGTGAGTTGTTGCCCAGCACCTTCATCCTCTGCTGCTCCTCTGCTGAGTTTTTCATCCCCAGCAGGCAGAATTTTCCCTGTTGTCCTGCCCTAGTCCCCCATCAGCACATAGAGCATCTCCACCTTTAATGGTATTTTTAGTACATGTTTGTGTTATGTCTAATAAGTCCTTTTAAAGAAAAAAATTAGACTTTTTTCGTAATCACCTTTTGGTCCTTTCCATTCTGTCCAGTTTCCTCACCCTCCTGCTTTTAGGAATTTGTTGTCTCTGTTTATTTATCGTTTTATAGGCTCAATGCTGTGTTTCTTTCAGGGCTAGGATACAATATCACAGTTTTGGCTGCCTTAAACAAATTGGGATATCTTACTTACAAGTCTTGATTATTTGCACCAGTGGCTTCAGCAAATCCTGTGCAGGGCCAGGAGTTGGAATCGATTATCCTTGTGGGTCCCTTGCACCTCAGGAGGTTCTGTGGTGCTTGGAATACATTGGGATTTATCCAACTCCATAATAGCCATTTTATAACCCTGAATTATTTTCATTTTCCTGATCAGCTCTCAGTGATCTGCTGTCTCCAGAGCAGGTTTAACTCCAGCTATGCAGTTTCATGGCACTGGGTATTTTCTCTTAGGTTAGAATTTGGTTTAGTAGAAATCCAGATTTGGAAGGTTTTCCCCAATGTTTTGCTTACTCGTACACTAGAAAACAAACTAAACTGTTGATACCCAGTTAAGGTTATATGGTGTAGAATGAAAATGTGCCTGCTGTATAAACAGAGCTATCTAAGTATTCAGAAAAATAATGGCAGGGGAGATGTCTAAAGGCTTCGAATAGAAATGTGTGGAAAAGTGGCAGTAGGGCAGCCCTGCTGAGACCCTGAGCACTGGCTGCACTTTGCATAAATTAGGAGTAAATAAGAAACAGCTATGGATTGTCATTTCTTGAAAGCAGTGTACCACTGTTTAAAACTCCCTTTAATCCTTGCAGACCAGTAATGGAGGAGGGAGTTTAAGTGATTATTCCTCCTCTGTCCCATCAACTCCGAGCACCAGCCAGAAGGAGCTGCGGATTGATGTTCCTCCCACTGCCAACACACCAACTCCTGTCCGTAAACAGTCCAAGCGTCGATCCAACCTCTTCACGGTGAGTGAGCCAGGGGACCTCTGCTGTGCTGTGTGTGCTGGGGGACAGCCTGGCCTTCAGCCCTGTGCTGTGTGCTGGGGGACAGCCTGGCCTTCAGCCCTGTGCTCTGTGTGCTGTGTGTGCTGGGGGACAGCCTGGCCTTCAGCCCTGTGCTGCTGGGCTGCTCTGATGCCACAGGAGCACTAAGATGGGGCTGTGAGCTCCAAAACAAGAACATGTTGGAATTATCGTTGGGTGGTTCTGTTTGAGTCTTAAACTGGAATGCTTTTCTTAGGAAGTCAGGCTGGGAGGCTTGAGGTTGTTCAGGCTGGAGAAGAAGGCTCCAGGGAGACCTTAAAACCCTTTTCAGTGCCTAAAGGGCCTCCAGGAGAGCTGGAGAGGGACTGGGGACAAGGGCATGGAGTGATGGGACTTCCACTGACAGGGCAGGGGTAAATGGGATACTAGGAAGGAATTCCTGGCTGTGAGAGTGTGGAGGCCCTGGCACAGGGTGCCCAGAGAAGCTGTGGCCGCCCCTGGATCCCTGCAAGTGTCCCAGGCCAGGTTGGATGTGGCTTGGAGCAGCCTGGGATAATGGAATGTGTCCCTGCCCATGACAGGGGTAAGACTGGATGGGCTTTAAGCTCCTTCCCAAACCAAGCTATTGCATAACTCCCCTATGCTACTTTTACTACTATACAGAATCAGATCATTTTTTTTCTTATCCATGGTTAAAAAAGATGATGGACATTAAAGTAATTTGTTTTTCTTTCGAAGCCACCTATTTTTGCCTTATTGAGAGACCAAAGAACCTAAAATCAAACTAAAGTTAAATAGAAAGCTGCCTGGTACAATATGACAGGTCTTTGTTATACAGAAGTAGTTTGGGAGATGCTAGTGAAGCCCTGAGTGAAGGTTTTCTTGGTTTAAGCCCTCTTGCTGAAAGCTCTGGGATCATGTTGTAGGTATAATTGTGGTTTGTAAGCAGTTTTTAAACAGTTCGCACACATCATAGCAAACTCAGAATGCCTCTGGGCTCTCGTGTAACTCCCTTGGGGGTTGTAGCTACATGTTAATTGTGTTTAGGAACCTACAATTTCCCTGTCAGCATGGAGAACTGATATATTTTATTCCAAAGGTGATGTCATGCTCAGTTCCCATATACAAACCTCATAAAATCTTTTCCTCATACTCTGAGGGAAATCTGAGCCCTCCACCTTCGGCAAGTGGAAAGTGTTGTCACCGTTTTGGAGCTCTGAGTGACAGCAGAGAGCCCCAGAAATCCTGTGTCCATCCCAACAGAGGTATTTAGATTTAAACCCAGATCTCCCACTCCTTTAAAGGAGAGGAAAGCATGCATTTGTGTTTGGGTGCAAATGTGTAGGTGGAAAACAATATAAATGCGCAGCCTAGGAAAAAGTATCCCTGTTTTGACGCCAATATTTGGTAACAGTCATGCGGATTTCTTCTCATTGGTGGAAGTAATCTGGAGTTCGGTGGGAGAATTCCAGAGTTCCCAACCCCACTAGGTGTCACTGTCAGCCCAGAAACCAGCAGCAGCCAGAGCTCTGGAAGCAGAGCTGAAAACATCGCCGACCATCTATGTCCGGGCTGAGGGATGTGTGAGGTGCTGCCAGGGCTCTGGAGGTGGTGCTGACATTTGTGGAACTGGGAATCTTTCAGTTTGGAGCAGCTGTAAATTTGAGAAAGGGGGGAGAGAAAAACAGACCCATCTACGGTCACAGGAAAGGTTTGAGAAGAGCATTAAGCTAGCTGTAAACAAACAGACTAAAGCTCTGCTTTGTGATAATTAGTAAGAAATATCTTTACTAATGTGAGAGGGTGCTGATAGTTGTCTTAATGTCTGATAACTGGGAAAAATGATAAGAATTTGCCTTTACAGAAGTAGCTGTGTCTTTTAAGGTGGGTGTAGTGAGACTGTTTAATGAGTTGCCCTGTAATCTATGTCCTGAAGTACTTAACACCCACTCTGCTGTAACCCAGCTTTTGAGCCAAGTTATAACCTGGAATTATTTAACTGAATAAGAAGATAACCAGTATTTTCTGTGTAGTTATGAACAGAGTGTGTAATTAAGATATTTTACTGGTTAGCTCTGGGTTTCTTGCTGTGCTTCTCTTCCCAGTCACTTATGCGTTTATTTCTTACAGAATCAGATACATTTCTGTTTAATAATTGCAAGTTACCCATAAACAGGTAATATGTTTTGTGATCTTTAAGTCCTCTGCTGTTGGAAGATGACCAGGCTAAGTAGAAATTACTTGATTCTTCTTAATTGCAGTTTTTGAGTTGGAATAGGGTTGAGAATTTTAAAGACATTCAGTGCATTATATGCAGTATCTCATCTTCTTGACATTGAGTATGAATGTTTGTTGTAAAGCTATTGTTGTAGCAGCTGATCTTCCCCTTAAGTGATAAGATAGATGAAATATTAGAAGAGTTAATATCCTTTGTTTTGGACAGTGTGATAACAGGGACCACCAAATAATCTTGTATAGGTCAGATGAGGATTTAAAATGCATTTATGAGGTTCACTGAGCAAGCAGCTGATTCTAAGCGTGTCTGATCCCACATTGGGTAAGGGAATTTCTAGCATAAAAAGGTGCATCACCTTTCCCACATTCAGTGTTACCTGTCTTACATATTTACAGAAATCCAAGAGAGTTTTTCAGACTTAAAATGAGCTCTCTGTCTCAGTATCTACTGTCAGAAATGAGTATTTTACTTTTGGGGTGCTCTGCTCATCTGGGTCTGGTTGTGCCCAAACTCAGATGTGACATCTTGGGTCAAGTTTTATGTGGATTTTAAGTCTGTGAGTGACTTCCAGGGCAAAGGAGAAATCTCTCCAATGATCTTAGTGCATGTGCTTTAATTTTTCCACACCTTCTTTGGTTTGCTGGCACAAAGTTCTAAATAGAACCATTTATTGTGTAGATGTGCCATCAGAAAAAGTCGTGGGAAGTGTTGCTCCAGCGTGGTTTGGAGCGGATTTTTTTCTGCTAGGATATAAGACATATTGTGTATGTCATAGGTACAAAAGCATAAAAGATCAGATCTCTGTTTCACTGCACAATTTATCTTTATAAATAGCGGAGCGTGCAAAGATTCTCCCCTGGAAAACATTAGGGATTCTGTGATTACGAGCAGCTACAAGGGAATTAGCCTGACATTTACCAGTGTTTTGCACGTAGATATTTCCCTTCCACGTGCAGCATGTGATTTCCAGCTGCAGGAACTTTGAAGAAATGGTGATGATTTAAAACAAGGAATGAAAAACAGCATTTCAGAGGCCGGGTCCTTTCTCTAAAAAAAGTCAGATAAAAAAGAAACATTCAAGTTGACAACTCCCCTCCCAAGGATTTGGGCAGCTTCTCTGAGTTTCTTTACAATGTCACTTACGGGCGCTTTGCGCCATTGAAGCTTTGTTTTGCCTTGTATTCTTGGGAAGTGGCACTTTCAGAGGCAGAAATCTGTCTCGAAGGACGAGGAACAATAGTTATCCTGCACACTGGATTTCATCCCTCCCACTTGTTTTGCTTGCTTTCATTTGTTCTTTGTTTAATTCCCCGGCACGTCATTCCATTGCCCCAGCCATAGTAACTGGTGATAGGAGCCCGTTCCCGGCGGAGCGGGGCCGGCAGCGCGGGATCCCCGCTGGGTGAATGTGCTGCTCAGAATGCTCCTACTTGGAGTCCTCCTCTCACGCCCGAGGGCAGCTGCTCCGGGGGTTTATTCTTCCTTCCACCCCTTTGTAGGATGGGGGAGACGGGCATTAGCGTTCCACCATCCCGATTCTGCTCGTGGTTTCGTGCCTGTGTGCGCTGGAAGCGCGGACCGGGCTCTGATGCGGCCCCGGTTGTTACTGACTCCCCATGGCGGTGCCGGACACCACAAATGGGCTCCTTTCATACATCATCGCTGGGTTGAAAAGCACACGAAAATGTTTTCCCGTTTCCGATATTGTGTGAGTAATGTTCCCATTGGAAAGTAATGGAGTGAAGTTGTCACTTGTCAGCGCAGTTATTAAGGAGGATGACTCTCAGGTCTTCTTTTTGTAATAAAATAAATCCGTCAAAATCACTGCGCCGGTGCCTTCTGTCGCAATAACGGGCTGCGATCTGAAGAACTTCTTCAAATTCCCATCGAACTTGATCAAGTCATGAAGGGAGCGCTGTGACCTTACTCTGGCAGCAGTTCAGCCTTGGGGAAGGCCAGGATGAGGCAATTCAGGTTTTAGACATTGGTAAAATTCTCCTCGTGCTAATTCTTCCACGTTGTATTCAGATAACTTTTTCCAGTCACCAGCTTTTCTTGTAGTTCCAACTTTCTAACCATTTCGAGGCAGAAAAAAATAATAGGTTGAAGTCCACATGGTCAAACCTAGCATTATAAAATCATATTTCTAAATAAATGCTGACATTTCTAAGAACCACACAGGTGTGAATTAAATGTATGCATGGGTATATTGAATGTTTTTAATGAGGAGATGGCACCTTCATTCCCCTTTGGAGCCACTGTTGGAAACTTAGAAACGTGTCCTCTGATGTTGTGGGTCTTCAGACAGTGGAGCTGTAACTCTTTAAACCCAAATGCATTTCAGACTATTGGATGGTTCAAATTTATGGGTGGTGGGTGGGAAATTTGTTCCGATTTTAGGATGGTTGCATACTTGTGCAGATCCAATTTTGAGCCTATATTTACCTGCCGAATCATTTTTTAATTGCCCTGAAAGAAAAAAATAAAAGGCAAATAAAAGCATCCTCTGTGTGCATTTAATGGAGCACAAACTTTTCTTTCCGCTCTGCAGTCTCGGAAAGGGAGTGACCCAGACAAAGAGAAGAAGGTCCTGGAGAGCAGAACAGACAGCATTGGAAGCGGCCGTGCAATCCCAATTAAACAGGTAATGCCGAAATAGTTGCATTTTTTTCTCCCCTGCTTTCCATAGTTGGGAGACACACCTCGGGTCCGGGCACGGCGGTGCTGGGGCCGCGCCGAGCGGCGTTTGATGTGCGCGGTGATGAATGTGGAAGTCACTCACTTGACATCAATTAGGAGAGGTTCCTATGTGTATTAAAATAGGATCATTAGAATAAGAAGAGGGAAAATGTGACAACAGGCCTAATGAAGTGCAGTCTGCCGGCCTGCATATGGAGCGGGTTTCTAGGCTGTGCTGGCTTCAAAGCTGCCTTTGTAGAGGAGGCTTTGATTGGGCCGAGTGCTGCCAGGCGCAGGGTAAATCAGATCGCTCGACAAGAGCCCCTTGTGATCGCAGGAATAGCCTGATGTGGCCCTAATTTGCTACCACAGACGGACATCTGAACACAGTTTCAGGCTGCTTCGTAACAACGAGGCAATTAGTTGTGATAATCATGGCCGGTGTGTCAGCTGCGTGCTCTTGTTTGTAATTTGCTAATGAAGGAATTGTAACTTTGATTAGGTTCAGTTTCATTTAGACCTTATTATATAAGAGAACGTTTACAGCTGTAATGTGTGGCCTTAATTAAACTTTCTCATTACACAACAGGACTTGAAGCAAGGATTTGTTTTGGTGTGTTTTTACTAGCCTAGATGCACTTTCATTAGCCTGGAAACTCGATCCTAAATTGTAGCTGGGAACACTCCTTTGAAAGGCAAAAGCAGCGCCAGCGTTGGATGGGAAGTATTTGGGGAATGAGATGATTTACTTTCTCAAATGAAATCGCACTGAGTCCATGTGGTTGAGATCTCCACGTTCCCATGGAATTTTTCTCACACCGTTTCTGTGTTAGTGTTTGCAAGTGTTTACTCACTTGCTCGAGATAAGTACCCTTTCTTTTCCATTTCTTTTCTTCCCCCACGTTTCTTTCCAGTTGTTTTGGTACCTTTCCTGCCCTCCAGAGGCTCACTTGCCTCTCCTAATCTTGTCAGTCCATGCTTTATCCTCCCAGGTACCTCTGGGTGTCCTGTATGCAGCTGAGTTTACGTGCTTTGGGGTGTGTCATGTTTTTCCTCTATTTCTGGATGCGAGGAGGAGTTGATTTTGTACCCTTAACTATTAGCTGTGATTTTTCTTCCTAAAGTCATTCTAAAAGGCCTTTTGAGACCATCAGGCAGCAAAAATGCTGCTGTGTGTGAATCTCTAGTAGACAAATTTTAATCAAGCACACTGCAATCCAGAAGAGCAGTTTGAAAGCAGAGGAGCTCAGTGTTTGGCTCTGCATTCAGGGGAGGAGATTCCAGGCATTTAAAGCAAGCTACAATTTTATTTTCCTACAGCTTTTGTACAGTATAGGATGGGTTAGACCGCCTGCAATCCTTTTGGGTAATGCTAATTAAACAAAAGTGCAACTGAGAATATAAAACTGAGGAATAGGTATGCCAATATTTATTCCAGGTATACCTACTGTTCTTTCCTAAAATGCTGTTGTACGGAATCTGTTTGATTAAAAATACGCTCGTAGGAAGAGTATTGTAAGATAAACATTCTAAGTGTGATTGTGCCACAGCGTGTTGTAAAGAAATATCCTTTACAATATCTGGAATTTCTGTATGGAAAAATTCTCCTTGCAGCCCTGCTTGTGTACCAAATATGACCAATCTTTTGGGAATGTGGCCTTCTTGTTGCTAACCCCAGTTATGGTAATTTTGTTTTGTCACATGCAAGCCATTACCTACAAATCCTTGATGTGCATCCTCAGCACATCTAGCTCGTTCTTTGGGCTTTGAGGATGGGAGGTTTTTGCAGTACTGTAGGGTGGGTGCTTCCAATGGGATTTGACATCACACTCAGATAGTCAGGAGGAGGGATTTTGGAGGTCTGGTAAGTAGAGGTGGCTCCAAGTTCAGTAGAGGGGGCTCAACAGGTACCAGGGAGGCAGCAGAAATTCCTGCAAGGAAAGCTGGTGCCTTTTATTTCATGTCTTAACTGGGAATAAGACAGAGGGATGTGGAAGGGAACTTCTTGACCTGAAAATCTTTGTACTGCTATTCTTCTTAAGATGAGAACCTCCTTCCATCATGATCCATTTTCTGTGGCAAATGGACGCAGAGTCAATGAGGTTGGAAAAGCCCTGTAAGATAACCAGGTCCAGTGTTTAAACAAGCACTGCCAAGGCCACCACTAACCCATGTCCCCAGGTACCACATCCTCATGGATTTTAAATCCCTCCAGGGATGGGGACTCCACCACTGCCCTGGGCAGCTTTGCCAATGCCTGACCACCATATCTGTGAAGAAATCTTTCCTAATATTCAACCTGAACCTTCCCTGGTGCAACTTGAGGCTGTTTCTTCTTGTCCTGTCTCTTGTTGCTTGGGATACTTGGCAATAGAGAGAGAAATCTGGTTTCAGGCTGCAGCAATCCTAGGATTGCTGTGGGAGAATAAAACTAAACAACATCAACAAAACTCCACCAAAAGAAAAAAACCCAAAAAACCCACAAAAAACAACAACAACAAAAACACCAAAAAAACCCAAGCAAACAACAAAACCAAACTCAAATGACAAAAACCTCCAGCCAAAACAAGTTCCTTGGAGGCTGGAAATGTTCTGGTTTTGAGGAAAAAACGGAATGTCTCCCAGCACTATGAAAAGAGTTTCTCATCATTCTGGGACCCAGATATGGACCTGCACGGTGGGTTTTGGTCAGAAGAAGCCAAGAGTTTGCAACCTACTCCTGCATTCCAGTTCTTGGTGCCTGAATCCCTGTGAGTTTAAGGAAAATCCCTGAGAGTTTGGGAGAGTTTGGATGGTGCCCTGAGCACCCTGGTCTAGGGGAAGGTGTTGCTGCCCGTATCAGGGTGTTGGAATGGGATGGACTATGAGGTCCATTCCAGCCCAAACCATTCCAGGATTCCATGGACTAGTAAAATTGTGAACAGCCTGTTTCCTTCCAAGGAAACACCTCATTCCTTCAGGGCTTTATCCTTAGCTCAGAGCAGCCTGGTCAAAAAGAGTTCATGTTCTTATTCTTTGTGTCCTTTCTACATGGTAAAGCTGATTTTTCACTGCAGTGCTAAATTTGATTTTATTGGGCTAAGCCATATAAAACTGCCCTGATGACCCTTCCTGCTCCAGCAGAAACTCAAAATGTAGGCAATGAAAAGCAGGCTTGTTTTTAAAGGGTGGCTGCTCACTCCTGCCAAAATAGTCTTAAAGTGAGTGAAATTTTGGGAAGTCAGATTTCCTGGGGGGGGGAGGGTACCAATGCCTTGAGCATGCACAGCCATATCAGCATGTCTTAGATCCTGGACTTCTGGAAGCTGCTAAGAACTGGGAATATCAGATTGTTTTTTATTTGTTTTTTTTTATTATACAAAATTTCACTTGTGTGCTATTTAAAAAATCTTTTGCAAATCAAACAGTCAGGAAAAGTCTTGAGCAATATTGGCTTAAAGTCAAAATCCATAGAAAGTTCTCTACTTCTGAGAGAGGTGCTTAAACAAAGAATATTTAAGCTATTTTCTGTATCATTGTTAATAATACTCTTAAAGCGAGTGGCTTGCTGTGGTTGGAGAATCTTCCTTCCAAAACCATTTATTCTGGAAAAGAAGGCTTGTTCCTGGTAGCCTGAGTGAATATTTTGAAGAATATTTTCAAGCACGTGTTCATCTCTACAGTTTTGGGGAATTCACTTTCCAGGATGAGAGGTTTTGTAGCGTTTTGGGAAAGTTACTTTGATTTTTGTGGGTTTGGGAAATCTTTATCAGTAGGGCATATTCAAATTTAAAAAAAAACCTGCACACAACAAGAAAAATAAAAGCAAGAAGCTCAACTCAGCGGTGAGGGGGCTTGTCATGTATTAATTTTTCATTGCTGTGGAGAATTGTACATACATAATCACTTGATTGCAGTGGGAGTTAGCGAGCTCCTATGGTGTCATTTGCATAAATCTTGTTAAGTCAATGGCAGTTAATGAAGTACAAATGAGCCTGGAGAAGGTGACATGCAAATCGTGGGTGGCAGATGGGAGGTCTGTTTTTGGGGATGGCAGCTGTGTGCTCTTTTTTTTAATTTTTATTTTTTTTTCCTCTGTTCTGCCCCCATCCCCCCCTCACTGGAGTGTAAATAAATATGTAAGAGCTGGCCTTGACTTTGTGCTCCCAGCCCTCTTCTCTCTGCCCTTTGCACTTAATCACAGATGCTCACATCATGATATGCTCCAACTATATAACCTTGGCTGTTCTTTTACCAAAAACTGCCCCCAAAATCGGTGTTTGACACGTTGCCTCCACCCTTGGCTTACCCTGAGAGGTGCTGCACCTCTGGTGCCCCCAAATTGCTGCATCATTTAGGGATGACAAACTCGAAGCCTGGATTAGAAATAAATGTTCTAATAGTTAATGCTGTATTGATGACACAGTGAAAAATTTGCCATCCATGACTTGCAAAGGTGAACTTCAGAATCCATTCCCTTCCCTCAGTTTGCAAATGGCTGGATTAATGGAGAACGTGGAATATCTTATTCAGGCTTTACTTTTAGGTGATATTTCAAATGACCTTCTTTGCCTGCCAGCTTGGCATATTTAAGTACATTAAAGTAATCTCAATGAAATTAGGTATTTTGTCTTTTTTTTTTTCCTTTTACTCTGACCTAAAAATGGCAAATGTTTTTTATGTCAAGGCACAGAGGTGGCGTCATTGATTTGCTGCTCATGAAGAAGAGTTTGGTTCCTGGATGCACAAGTTGCAGTTTTTCCTTAAGATGGACATAAACAAAACTGGTGCTTCCCAATGTACATCTGAATTTTATAAAAAATGTCATTAAACTCAGCAGAGGTAACTTGGAAGATGCTCTCATCAAATGTCAAACTTGACATTAAAAACCTATCCCTTCTCCTCAGCTCCCTACAGGTGTAGGTCAATGTTGCTTCTGTTTCAGTAGTGATTTTCTACTTCCTCTGCTTCACTAGTGATTCCAACTTCCTGACCTCATTTTTGTTCATTTTTAGCCCTAGCTGGGATGTTTAAGCACCAGTTACACAAATCTTGCATGGAATAGCACACAACACTCTGTTATCTTGGTCCTTCCACTGAGATCATCCTATCTGAAACCTCTTTTCCCATAAAATACCCGCAGCTGTCTGTCCAGCTGCTGGAGCATTTCAGCAGGCACGGCAGTGTCTTGGAAATGGGTTGTGAAAAGGGATCATCTGCCATGTCTGCTCAGTCAGAGTGATGTCCTTAGTCATCCTCACTCCCACAAGAGCACTGCAGTGCTCCGGGCTAGTGTCACATCTGAGACTCGCCGTCCTCACGAGCAGTAAATGCTCTTTGCAGCAGCTTTCCTGGCTGCAAATGTTTACTTGGAGTCTACCAGAAGAGAGAACAAATAAGCAGTGATCTTAGCAGCTCTTCCTGCTTAATTCATCTGACTTGACAGGGTGAAAAAAACTATCTAGAGGAGCTCGACAGACAGATGATGCTACAGTCAGCAGTGCCAAGGCTTATCTGATGGCTTCTCTCCTCTGAGTTCAACATCAGGTTCTGTTTTGAAATAAAAGTGACTAATGCAGGTAAGGGCCAAAAGCATTTGAAGAGGGGGATGGCAGCAAACAGGTGGAGGGCACACAGGACCCAGGATTTACTTCCCTTCCTTACAGCTGTGTGTTTCTGCACTGAACCCCGTTTCACTGACACACAGACCCAGCCCCCTGTGCTGCTGCTTTTGCTCCAAAACAGAGAACCCCAGAATGGTCTGGATTGGGAGGACCTTAAAGCCCATCCAGTTCCACCCCCTGCCATGGGCAGGGACACCTTCCACTATCCCAGGTTGCTCCAAGCCCTGTCCAGCCTGGCCTTGGACACTTCCAGGATCCAGAGGCAACCACAGTTCTCGGGGCACCCTATTCCAGGACCTCCCCACCCTCACAGGGAATAATTTCTTCTCAATATCCCATTCAACACTGCCCTCTGTCAGTTCGAATCCACTCCCCCTTGTCCTGGCATTCCAAGCCCATGTGAAAAGTTTCTCTCCATCTTACTCTGAGGTTCCCCTCAGGTCCTGGAAGGAGCATTCTCCAAAACTCCTGCTTTGTATTTTTCCTTCCTGATTCCTGATGCTCAGGTAGATTTGTAGACTGTTGTTTGCACGCCAGCATTGGGTGTCTCCAAGGAGCAGCTTTGCCAAAGTCAGAAGTGAGGTGATTTACAAGGAACTGGCAGATGACATGGTTTGATTTATTTATCTCCAGCATGAGGTGTAATTTCCTCTGTCACACGTCTGTCTAATCACAGTAATCAGTCTCCAGATCAGCTTGTACAAACACCAGGGTATGGTTTTGAGCCAAATACTCTTAGTGCTGAAATCTTCTGTGTAATCCCTCTGCAATTGTTTATAATCAGAACATACACATTTTGCTGGCTTTTTTTTTTAATTAGCTGATTACCAGTTATAAAATGTTTTGTGCTCACTGTGGTTCTTTAAATTGTTAACTGGTCGCTACCAGTATAATTAAATATTTCAGAGCACTTGGCTATGGTTGCATTGAACTGTGAAGAAATAATGTTATATAGCCAATCAAAAAGAGATACTTGTAAACTCATTTAAAGCGTCAGAGTGTGTTAGGACTATCATGGTGATGCTTATTGCAGGAGAAATTAAAGATACAGTTTTGTGCTAAGAGGCAATACAGAAATTAGTTCCTGAATTAGTTGTTAATTGATTTGGTAATTCCCTGGGGTCTGCATGCTCTTTTTTCCTTTTTCGTTGTTGCATTCAGTTAACAGTGACTATTCCCAGTGCACTTGAAATATTTTTTCCAATTAGATCAAATGTGCCCTTACATCAGAAGAATGGCTTCAGCTCCATGTACCTGCCTGGAATAATGTTTAATTTGACTGTGAAAGCCAGGTTTGTGGGTTTTTCCAGTTGATGAGTTTCAGATACCATCCCAAGAAAAGCTGTAGTCCTTAGAATTTGGAATAAAATAGCAGTAAAAAGCTCTCTTGTACATGTGGAGCTGGGAGCTCTGGGTGTTAAACCCTTCCCTTGCCCAGGAATCTGGTTTCTAGTCCAAGGGCATGGCCCCTTGTGCCCCTTGGCCACAGCAGGCAGACCTGGGCATCAGCCTCAGCCTCTCTTACTGAGACAATTCCTCTTTTTCCTCGTTCATCCACCTGTTTGTCCCACTGGATCCTCCCATCTGTTTCTTCTAGCTTTCTGGAGTCCACTGGTTTCCCTTCCTGGGATGTCTGAGGGTTGCAGGAAGGAGCTGGAGGTTGGACCTTTGGCTTATCAAGATTGAATTTCTAATATACTTTCTAATATGCTAATATTAATTAGTCTCCTAATTTTTCAGAGTCCCTAAAGCATGAGTTTTCTGTTTTGCATCTTATAAAATGTTGTTATCTTATCTCTAAATGCTTTAAATACCCAGGACTATCCCACAATGATAGTCCCAAGCATTCTTAAGACCAAGGTGAGCCCTCTTTGGCTTTACTTAAGGATCCATAAATGAAATATTATCAAAAAACTTTTCGGAGAAAAATTAACTTTCCATCTCTTTTTTTTACTTCCTGTGGCTGTGGCGTGGAGCTAAGGGTGTATTTAAATGTTTATTAACGTTGATTTGGGCAGGGGGCACACAATTTCAAACATTTATGTGTGATCCAGCCTTCAGAGAGAGCAAAGGAGAACAGTGCCTTTTAGGGCAATGATGGAAAGTAGCCAGATCACCAACTTTAAAACCAGAGGGAAATTCTATGTTTGCCAAATGTTTGTTATGTTAATGCCATGAGAGGTCACAGATTACTTATGACTGCCAATAAGGAGTGTTCAACTCCATCCTCCTTATTTATTTATTCATTTATTTTAAATCCCATCTGAATGTCATGCTCTTGATGTTTCGTGGAAGAGACAGGGACAAACCTGTGGGTTTGAGTAGCAGCTGATGATTTCCCAGCTGACACATCAGGTGTGACTGTAGCTCTTGCTCATCCTTAAGATTCAAGAGGAGACATTCCAGCTTTTGTTTGGAATAGTGTTGATCAGGTTAAGCATTCTTGGAGAGACTGGAAGGACAGTGGAAGCCGGCAGGAGGAGAGTGCCAGGAGATTATCAGCCTCTGCAGAAATAGTAGAGAAAGAGCTTCTCTTATCTAAAATACCAGTTTTTAAAAAAGAGGGGAAGATCTCTGTGTTATAAAAGGAGCAGGTGCTGTTCTTTACCATAAACCGTCAAGGATCTGTGTTCCTGTGTTCATAAGAGAAGGGAAGAGAGTATTTGTATCTCTCTGAGGCTCTACCATGAACATCCTCTTCTGCCTGGTGCTGGATTTCAGCAAAGAACGGGCTCCCCCAAATTCCAGGAGTTTGGATCCAGTACCAATGCAGTAAGTAAGACTGGAGCCTACAGGAAGCAAACCAAGCAGTCTCTCTGTTAAGACTGTGGAGGATTTAATACGTTTGGGATATTCTCATCCTTTCTGTGTGCTGGATATTGCAAATCCTGGAGTGTCCATAGGACGGAACAGGGGAAGTAGTGTCAGAGTGCTTCGGTGGAGAGGAGGAGGGAATGAGCAACTGCAGTGGAGGTGTAAAAGAGAACATCAATAAAAAAGCCATAATACGACTTTTAAAAATTTATTGGAATTTTCCAGTGTTGAAATGGTGTAATATATCAGGGTGGCATGTCAGTGTGACATGCAGAGTGACAGCAGTGAGGGCACTGAGGGGATCTTCACTGTTGCCCTAAGAGTCTGAGCTGGCCCCTGGCCAAAAGCCTCTGACTCGAGGTGGTGGTTCGATGGAAATGAACCACTAAAAAATGCTTTACAAAACGCAGTCTGTTTATTTGGGCCACCTTCACCTACCCAGGTAATCAAAAAACCCCCACTAAACGATGGCATCAGTCAGTGGCTGAGTGCATGAGTTTATAACCACAGAATCAGAATCTCCTGAGCTGGAAGAGACCCACAGGGATCATCGATCCAAGCCCTGGCCCTGCACAGACACCCCATCAATCCCACCCTCTGCATCCCTGAGAGCACTGTCTAAACACTCCTGGAGCTCTGGGGCTGTGCCCATTCCCTGGGGAGCCTGGGCAGTGCCCAGCACCCTCTGGGAGAAGAACCTTTTCTGATCTTCAACCTAAACCCCTTCTGAGCTCCCAAAACTCCCCACAATTCCTTGTGTCAGCAGCAGCTAGTGCTGGCGTGGGGGGATATGTCCAAATTAGCCAGGAGAGCAGGAAGAATTAGCCTTTGCTTATTTTCAGTGGATGAGATCTGGAATCAGAACGGTTTGGGTTGGAAGGGGCCTTTAAGGATGACTTAGACCAAAAGCTCAGATGAACAGGGTCACCATGGCCAGGGCCAGGTGCCATCCAGCAGGACGGGCCTGCTGAAGGCAGCAGTGGGAAAACGCCTTTGTTCCGAGGAGGTGAATCCGTGTACAGCTGGGCTGCCTTTGGTGGCTGCAGCTCTTCCTCCCAGGGCACGAGGAATTAGTCCTGAGAAGTGACATAAGAAGATTAAATAGGAAGCTTATGACAGTTAGCAAGTGAGGCTGCCTGATAGACTTGGGTTGACACAATGATTATTAATATGTTGTAAAGATGTTTTGGGGATTCCACCATATTTGTATGGTTGCCAGCAAAACGTTGACAGTTGCATTGTGGTTAATAAATTCATTTAGATTTATAAGCATTGTTTACAGAACCTGTTCGCCTGCTGAAACTCTAACAGCATCTGTTCCTTCGTACTAATTAACTGCTAATTACGAATGAGCTTTGTGTGTTTGTCAGTATAACTGGCTCATGCATTTTGTAAGGAACATTAACAAATTGATTTACATAGTGGTAAAGCAATCAAAAGAGTAAACTGAACAGCACGCAGTTAAAGCCCTTTAGCCTAATTTTTTGAACAAAGCAAACTTTGGTCATTCTGAATATTTTCATCATTCTTTTGCTCCCATTTAATTGTGTGGTAATTGTGTGTGAATCTGGATCCAGGTGCTGGCCCAGCATCCCTCATTTCCTGTTTTATTTTGTGGGTTTCTGTCTGTTGTTTTATTTTGAAGTGTTGGCACTTCAGTGTGTAACACGTGAGGAAATATTTTCCTAGAGTATAGCTGACAGTGGCAAATTAAAACCAAGAAATGGCATGAAAAAGGAATATGGCTTGGGGGGTAACAGGGGGTGTTTAAAACTCTGACTATAACTGCTTTGGATATTTGAAATATGTATGGAAGTCCTTGCACTTTGGTTTAAATGCTGTTTTCTCTAAACCTGCTTTTATTAACAAAAAATCCTCCGACTACAGTAATTATAAGCACATCTTTAGAACAGTCTCAGCAGCCAGGCCAGATGTTGGTACTTAAATATTTTGAATTTAAAGGGAGTAATTGGCACAGGTTGCCCGGTGAAGCTGTGGCTGCCTCATCCCTGGAAGTGTTCCAGGCCAGGTTGGATGAGGCTTGGAGCAGCCTGGGATAGTGGAAGGTGTCCCTGCCCATGGCAGTGAGTGGAATTGTATGGTCTTTAAGGTCCCTTCCAACCCAAACCATTCAAGGATTCTATGATTAAACTGCAATTCTTACAAATAAAATCTCAGTTTATTTTACATGAGTTAAAACAGGGAGAAAAATCATACAAAGACTTGAGTGTTTTGTTTATTGTAAAGGATCCTTCAGGTGGTGATAAATTGGGGATGAGTGTCATGGTCAGATGACTTGGATATATTTCATTTAGAGATGTCCTAAAGCTGTAAAGCTTGAAATGAACTTTGTTATTGCTGTTAGGGAGAAGACAAAAGGAGTGCAAACACACTCTTTAGGGTTCAGTTTTCCTGACCAGAAGCTATTTCAGTGAGAAACAGACAGTGGTTTTATACAGACTAAAACCTGCCAGGAAAACTCAATTGGTTTTTTGATAGAATTTCCAACTAAGTGCATGAAGCAAACATAGCAGATGTATAATATTTTGATACAGCCTCTCTACATCTTAATTGAGAGTTTATCCAAATGTGTTTGGCTAAAAGCTGCCACGTGGGTTGGATCTGGTCTGTGTGGGTGTAAACAAGCCCTAAAGCCAGAGTGTGGTCTGGGCTGGCTGGAAGGGGACTAAACTCAGCTCTGGGGCCAGTGCCATGTGTCTGCTTGAAAAATGTATCTCCATCCTTGTTTGAAAGGACCAGGAAGACAAGGGCAGTGTGGGAGAACGAACTGGAATGGAACCTGGACTAAACCCCACCCACTCAAACTTCTGCTGCTTTAACCCAAATTTGGAAGGTCTTTTTCTTTTATGTGCTTCTGGTACCTCACCAAGACATTCCTCCAGCAACCCCCAGGGACAGGCTCCTGTGCCTGGAATCAAAGCCAGGATCTTACATGAGACCTCAAACACGTTGTGGCTGCCCCTGGATCCCTGGAAGTGTCCCAGATTAGGTTGGACACTGGGGCTTGGAGCCGCCTGGGACAGTGAAAGGTGTCTCTGCCCATGGCAAGGGTGGGACTGGATGGGCTTTAGGGTCCCTTCTAATCCAAACCAGTCTGGGATTCTGTGGTTTCAGGATTAATACTGTAGGAAAAAGCTGCTGAACTCTGGGGGCTGTCAGACCACGGAATGTTCTCTACCAGGAAAAATAAAAGCTTAGTGAATTTGGTTTTCTTTAAGGGAAGAGGGTGTGGATTTTCTTTTCAAGAAGGGGGAGAGGCTGTTGAGCAGTGAGATTATGTAGGTAGATCTGAGCACTGAGTCCATTTCTTTCCCCTTTATAACTAATATGAGTCTTTGTCACAAAAGAAAAATACCAAGACGTACCATTTGCGAAAGGGTTTATAGTTCAGTATATCACCCTATTATGAATGACAGCATTTAAATGGTTGGGTAGAGAACTGCAGAACTGCTACAAATCAAGGAGCTAGATTAACATCTAATGCTCTCTTCTCTCTGAATATTTCGGGGAGGGGGAGAAATTAAATCTTCACGTGTGGGAGGTATTGGAAAGAAAAATCAACTAAAATTACCGAAGTGGTTGAATTGTTTAGAAATTCTGCTGTCTGAAGTGAGCAATACATTGGAACAGAGGAGAATTGAAGAGTGGGGATTATTTAAGGTGGCAGGTATCATCACTTTAGGAGTCAAAATTGGACAGGCTGTTTCATGGCCAAATTAAAAACAAAATAACCTTTTCTTTGGAGGGAGAGGTGCACTGGAAATCCTTGACTAAAGGCTGAGCTTTGAGCAAACTGGGTGAAAACTTCTTCAGGATGCAAACTGAGTAAATGCAGAGATATGTATGGTTGGTGTATTTCATGTTAAATAAATACTCAGATCTGAGTCTGAAAATCTGGGATTATATGTGTTTATTGACTTACTGTGTGAGGCAGATCTCTTGAAGGATATAGATTTTCATATTTGCTGTGCTGTGTCAGGCAGGTGAGCTGCACAACCCCTTTCTGCTGTGGCAGGAGGGATGTGCATCCATCCAGTGCTGAGGTGTGCCCAGCATTCTGAGAATTGACATTCTGCGTTTGCTTAAGCCTGATGCAAGGCAAGAGCTGCTTGGGAACATTTTATGAATTTTCCCTTTGCACAGCAAATGTTGCTGTGAGTTGGGAATTCATGGCAATACTGTATTTTAGCTGAGAAATAATAGGTGCACGATCACTGTTGTTGGTGCTTTAATCATACAGCATAGTGACTGCTGTAATTCCTGATACAGTTTAAGTCATACGTAGTTCCAATTAAGTGACACTTTCAAATGTTGTGGTGTTTTGAAGCAGGAGGTTTCTTACCTGCTTGTGCAGCACAAGGATTCCAAGCTCCTTATTTTCTGCACCAGGTGAAGGCAGACAAATGCAAGGGCTTTGAAGGTAAGAGAAGTGGGGTGGAAAACAGAACTGGAGGGACAGAGCTCAAATGGAAAGTTGTGCTGCTGTGAGAAACAAAATCTGTATTAAACGGGTGGGGGGGGGGGTGGTAAACATTGAACAAAGACTCTGAAAGTAGATGGGAAGTGAGAATAAAGACCAGGTGATGCTCTCAGTAACATCAGGAATCTTGAGGGTCTCTGAGAAAGTAACCCAGCAGTCCCCAGAGGTGTTGGTTCTGGAGGTGCTGCTGTCTCCAAGCAGGAAGCACCATGATTGATTCCTGGCTGGAAGTGACGCTTTGGTGCTGCTGGAGCTCCTTGTCAGTGCCTGGAGCTGGTTCCAGCTGATCTTTCCCAGAGCTCTGGGTCTGTGGAGCTCAGGAACACCCCTGGAGCTGATGCATTCATGCTGTCAGAGTCCTGAGCTTCCCACTGCTGGAGACAAGGTATCAGTGTTGGTCCAGAGTAGTTCTGGGGATCTTAAAATGTTTGCCTGAAATATGAAGGGAATTTGAAACCACTGAGAGTAAAGAAAGGAAAAATCAGGAGAGGCAGCATCTCTCTGCCTGGAGTGTGGAAGGCCTGAATTGGACTGGGGATGACTAGAAGGCAAATCAGCTCTCAGACACACTTAGAGAAGGGGTTTGGTGAGCTGGGTGATGCTGGACAGAAGCTCCAGGGAGCAGTAAATCTTTCCTATGTGATACATGTGTGTGCTTGGAGAACCTGGCTGCCAGGGAAACCCCATTACTGAACTCATGGCATGGATTGGAACTTCTAAAATCAGGTTTGGTTTAAGGTTTGCTCTTTCGCCAAAAATGCTTTTTTTCATAGGTGATATCTCCTCCAGCCTCTCTGAATGGTGCTGGTGTCCTGGTCCCAAAGAGCTCTGGAGTGGCATCAGCAGTGGTGGCACAGGAGTTGTGCTGTTCTACCACACTGCAGTGTTCAGGTGCCTGGTGGGCTTCCCTTGGCTCTTGCTCCCTCCTTTTCCCACTCCAGCATGGAGACGGGTGAAGGATGGCTGAGGCTTGGAGCAACAGCGTCTACTGGAAGGTGTTCACAAATTCTGCTCTGTGCTTCTTCTTTTGTTTGCTTTTAGTTATTCTAGGTAGGGTTTGTAGATTTACATTTACATTTGGAAATTGAAATGTAAATTACTTTTTTTTTAAAGGTCAGTGAGCATCTCAGGTTTTTCTGTTAAAATTACAAGTCAAACATAGAATCACAGAATGGTTTGGGCTGGAAGGGACCTTCAAGCTCATCTCATTCCACCCCCTGGAACACTTTCCACTAGAAGGATAAATTGTATGAGGTTTTTTTTCACCCTGCCTCGTCTGTGGGATAGGAATAATGTGTGCTAAGCTGGTACCAAGTGCAGGTGGGCTTCTGCTCCATCCTCTAGCAGAATATTCCAGCTGCAGTCTGTTCTCTTAAATCAAGAATTTTCAGTCTTGCAGGTATAAATGAAAATTCATAAAACCTATCAGAACACTCCCTGGTGTTCCTGCCCCTCCATTGAACTCAGTTGATGTTGAGCTTAAAGCTCTGAAAGGCTGGAAAGGTGACTTGAGGTGTTGTGTCTTAGAAACCTGTTGAAAATACAACCATAAGTATCATTTTTAAAGCCTTTTGCTCGATGTAGGACTGGTGACGGATATGAAATGTTTGCTAAAAGGAGGAAATGATCAGTTCTTTTAATAACAGGGGCTTTTTCTCTCCCTGCACCTTTTCCTTGGTGACACCTCGTGTACCTTGACTGCCCCTGGAGATGGAGATTTCCTATGCCACTGTAGGAAAAACAATCCTTGGGTTATGTGCAGAAAAGTGAGAGCGTTAATTTGAGGTGAAAGCTTTATTTACATTTCTCTTTGGGTTTATTGCTTGCTTTCACCAGCATAGCCAGGTTTGTGGGGCTCTTTCTGCTGTCCAGGCACTCAGCTATCTGCCCTCCTTTGTTTGAGTGGGGATAAGCACTTTGCCATTCTTTTCTTCAGACTCTGTTTCCACATAACAAGATTTCCATGTAAGTGCAGAGAAGGGGTTTGTTCCTTGTACAACTAGGGTTAAATAAAATTCTAAAATAAAAATAATTTAAGACCATTTCAAAAGAAGAGGAGGGATGAGACACCAACCTAGAGAGAGCAAATCTCTCTCCTTTGCCCCAAAAATTTGTGTGTGTGTCTAACAGCCTGACAAGCTTCAGGACTGTGTTGGAAAGAGTCCTTGGTTGTGGGAGCTCCTGGTCAGAGGGACATCCATCCTTCCCTCCTTGCAGGCTCCAAAGAGCACTCCCTCCTGGCAGGGAGAGGTGCCTGGGGTGCTGTGCAGGGAGAAGACACCTCTGTGCCTTGTGTTAGAGGTTTGGAAGGACAGAAGTAGGAAATGGAAGTGGCTGGTTACACCTGCTTTCCGTTTCCTTTAATTATCTCCCCACAGTGTGTCTGTCCCTCATTAATGAGGATTGTGTCTCGTGCTGCCTGGGAAGAGCTGGCCCCATTAAACCAGTTATAATAGCAACAAATTAATGCTCCTCTGCCCTTTTTCCTGGGCTGGGCAAAGGATAATACATCAGCACAAACTACTTGGACATACCACAATTTAAATATTTTAGCCATGCCTTTCTGTATGTATCTGACCAATTTTCTCACAACTTCTTGGCAGTGTTGGTTTTTTAACGTTGCTGCCCAAGAAACGTGGCTTTTCTGGTTATTTAGATTTGAGGTTTGTTCCCTTTCAGCTGAAAGGGATCCCGGCAGTGGTGGCTCCAAGTAAAAATTACTTTGTTCTCTGCTATGTTAAATTGGCTGGTTAATTCTGGTGTTATTTACCCTGTAATTCATTAGTTTTACTCTACCATTGGCAGCTGACAGGCTGTAATTTCATGCCTTGCAATAAAAGATGTCTCATAATCTGCTTCATTTAGCAGCAAGAGAATTTAATGAAATTAACTGCAGTCCTAATTATGCCAGTGAATACTAAAGACTGCTATCAAGTTTCCTCAGAAAAGGACAAGGTCCAGCTTATGAAGGATTTAGAATATAATTTCCTGGGAAAAGTTGCAAATGTCTCCTTCTATTGGCCAACAAGGGCCAATTACAAGTGCTGATACGACTTTAATGAACTAGTTTGTTCTGAGGATATCTCACAAGGAATAATAATTTTTTATTTTCGAGCAAGTTTTTAGAGGTTTCTCTCCTTAGAGCAGCTTATCTGTGGGAATTTGGTGTTTTGCTTCTGTTTGGAAGCCTTTCCCCCCTGTCTTTTGTGATGTCTTGTGCTGAGGGTTAGGAAGTGAGAAGGGGGCAGCTCAGGTGTGGGGTGAGGTTAGTGGGGTTTGGAGATCTTAACCTGGAGGACGCCAGGGCATTTGGAAGTTCCTAGCTCAGTTACACAAACACCAGTTTTCTGGAATGAGAAAACTCAGGAGGGAGCACAGGAAGGCTGGGCTGGATGTGGCTTGGAGCAGCCTGGTCTAGTGGGAGATGTCCCTGTCCATGGCAGGGAAGTGGAACGAGAGGAACTTTGAGATCCTTTCCAACCCAGGAGTTCTGACATTGCATGAAAGGAGAAGGATTGATCTGAGGATCATTCCAAGGGGTGAGGCACCTCTCTGTGGTCTTCTCTAGGGTTTCTACTGGTCCACCCTTTTTTGTTGTTGTGTATTTCTGACTCTGCACTGGAAAAGTCTTTCTCTATTAGCTGGCAGCCTTTCCTCAATTTCCATTCCAAAGTGTTGGTTGATGTATTTGCCAAATGTGCTCTGCCTGCCTCCTGAGCACCGCCACACTCTGACAACAATGATGTGAAATGTAACCGCCAGTTTATGGCTTAAATGATGTTAAATGTAGTTAATTGGAAAAACTTTTAACTGCAGAGAATTTCCCTGCGAATAGCCTTCATAATAACCAGCTCACTATAAAACGCAAAATGCTTTGCTCACAAGGACAACGGGACTATAAAGGTGAAGTGTATTGATCAAATTACCTGAGATAATAAACTTCGGATGAATAACTCCTCTATTGATGAATGGGACAAGTCTTCCGTTTTTTCCCTAATCCCCTTGGTGTGATGGGAAGGCAGTTGAGACAACAGTGTTGCAGAGTATGGGGTGGTTTCAAGCCTAGTTTATATTTTTAAGTTAAGGAGCTGTGTGAAATTGGTAATGGAAAACGGCATTGGATTTTTTTACTGTTTCTGTTTCTTTCTTTTAAGCTGTAATTTGTTGAAAGTGCAATCATCTTCCTTTAGATAAAAAGTTATAGGACCACATAAAAGTGAATATGTATGGGGAAAGAGACTCAAAATGGTCATTATTTGCAGCAAAGCTGGATAAAGAGGGAACAGTGAACTCCTCCATACACGTTGGTGAGGGGGAGGTCAGAACACCACTGGATTTGTGCTCGTGTCAAAACAGGGAGGAGTTACAGCCCCAGAAGAGAGGGAGAAGTGTGGTGGAAGGGAGCTTGGAACCAAGGGAGAGGTTTTGGGTTTGGTTGCTTGGTGCATCCTCATTCCTTTGCTGTAGGGATTTCATGGCATTACCATTATGGGAAACAAAGGCGTTGGGTGCATCTGCCTTTCCCAGCAGCTTGAGTTTGGGATCTGACCAGAGGTGTCAGCTACCTTGGCAACTTCAGATAAATAACTCCAAATAAACCTGATGCAGACCTTCTTCTTAATATTTCAGAATACAAACAGAAAACTATAGTTTTATTCAAGGTATACTAATCACCTGTAATTGCATTTATTGGGTGAAGGATTAAGTGAGAGCTGCAGGGAATGGGCTTGATGTAAAAACTTCATTAATGGAACAGAGGAGTTGGAAGGAGATGATCTTTAAGATCCCCTCCAG